AGGAAACCTTTGTACCATTATCAGATGGTTGACAGTAGAGAGATATGCAGGATGACAACCGCTCCACCTAGCTAAATATTTGCTACAGTGTTGGAAGCGTCAATGTGTCCAAACTGAAAGTGAAGGTTACTGCACACTTAGATCCGTGCATTATCTCAAGTCTATCTGACCTTCATCAGAGCTTACAAAATATACCAAAAAATCAAAAAATTGTGGCATTGACCACCTTGTGAAACTGAGGGATTCAAATGCTGGTAGTCACAGACTGTTGTGACATAAAAAAACTGACTTTCTCAACAATCAGAGTGATGTGTCTGAATATCAGCATGTTGTGTTTCAGTGTTGTATTGTTCAGTTGCAAATTAATGAGAGGCTACATTTGTCTCTGTTGATGATTCACCAAAATGGTGAAATGTGTCAGCTTGCTATGTAGGTGGTACGACTCAATGTCTGCAACAGAAAGGAATTTAATTTTAATTTATGATTTGCAATTGATGTTGTCATGGCAGTTAGCCTAATACCAGTCGTTCACACCAGTGATGCCAAACCCAAGGGGGCTTGAATATTCATGAATGTTGATGTTGATATAGGTCATCATGCTGCTCATAACGTCACGGTCTGCTGATACTGCCAGTGGCCACCTCATATGAAAGGAACTCCAGGGTACCATAAACCTGCCAAAACTCCAAGAACCAAGTATAATAGCAGTCTGATTATTGATGTTACTAATTGTATGTACTGTAATTACCTTGCACACATTTTCCTCTAATTTTTTAACATGTCTGTCAAGCAATTTCCCTTATTCAGACCAGAAATGAGAAGGCTAATCTCTGCTTGCAACTTAATATACTTATACAGTGTATAGTATAGTATAGTATAGTATAGTAATATCAGATGAATCAATATTATTAAAGGATATGTGTTTTTAAATGTTTGTGCTTGTTGTGCTGGCAACACTTCTGTATTACATCATTCCCGATTGTGTCTGCACATTAAGTGTAGGCAGCAGTGTCGAAAAGCAGCTTTTAAACTTAAACATTGCCATAATTAGTCCATCAGACATCAGAGTCAACATGAAGTTTTAATGTGTTTCACTTTGCTGAAATGTGGATTATGTTACACTAAAGTTGTTCCATTCATCAAATAGAAATGGATGTGAATACATTAATGGTCAGAGTCTCATTAATTGCCAAAACAACAAGTGCATTGTAGGCGTGCAACAGATGAAATGTGACATTGTGTGAATAAAAACGCAGTGTCTATATTAGAGAGCTGAAAGTTTCTTCAGTGTCACAGCTGTAATGAAGGTTGTAGGCATGAGATTACAATCGGAAAGGAAAAACATTCATGCCAAAGTATGTAGCCCTTGCACATCTACCCACTAAGAAAACTTGATTCTTTCTTGAATCTTTGTGGCAAGGTAATCCCTGTAATATTCCTCTGATGTCGCCTAATAAACCTAATGGTCTTATTCGTGTGCTGTATTGTCCTGTATATTTCAGACATCTTTGTTATAAGATGCAGTTCATTTTGGCACTGTAAGTTTGTATTTGAAGAATGACTTGAATGACATGAATTCATTGCAACACAACAAAAAATAACCCAAAAAATATACAATACGCCTGGACAGTAAATGGGATTTAACTCAAAATGAGACAAGTATTCTCTTTACTTATTTGCCCCAAACATGATTTGCTACAGTACCACAGTAGCGACTCCCCCCACCCCCCATACAGAGCTCTGACAGTAGTACAACATTTTTTATTTGCCCTGCTTTTTATTTGTCCTCATGCACTCATACATTTCCCATTAGCAGTCTAGTAGTTGTCTCAAATGGCTTTGTTATTAAGTCAACAGCTCTTGTTCAGCAGGTGATTAGATCAGAGAATACAGCCTGGGCCGCACTGTCAGTGAGCGTGATGTCATCAGTACTAGCTAAATGTCAGCGGATGAGATTCATGGAGGATGTGCTGCGTCAGGAGAGTCAGCACTAAATCCAAAATGTCAATAATGAGTAGATGACGTTATACTGTCAATTACTGTATGTATTTTCATTGTCCTTAAACAAGGCTTCTGTAAGAGAAATTCCTGCTTCCCCTTAACGCCTTTAATGCATAGCAGCACCTGTGTCAGAAGAGAAGATCGTCCTGGCTTTCAGAGTCCACAGTGAACTGCAGTGAGCCTCAGCTGTAGCTCAAACAGCCCCTGAGTGTCACATTCCCCTCCAATCAAAGACAGAGTGGCACATCCCTGTCTGCTGTTACACTCAGTGTGCAGTCTCTGAAGGGGCATGACGTCTTATTTAACATGTGTCTTGCGGTCAATTTGTCAGATGGTTTTGACTGCTTTCCAGCGTGTCTTGAGTGCGCGTACACACACACGGGAGCAAAAAAGACTGGATGAAATATCTCTGCTCTGTTTTACTGCATTGAAGGTTATGTTTGTGTGTTTGCACGAGCCCATGAGCGGATACGCGTTGGTACACAAGTGCAGTCCAGCAGCAGTGTGCTTATTTTAAGGGTGTTGACGGTTTCCATTGAAAGCTCATGGCAGCTCAAAGAGGAGCGTAAAATTGGCAAGTGAGGGGGAGTTAGCATGCTGAGGCCTTTGCCACCTCATAGCTCACTGGCTGAAGATGTCTGGATTTATTCTGGGAATGCTACATTTGAGAGAAATAAGTGGGAAGGCAGTTCCTTTCTGCTCTATGTCTGAATACCCTCCAGTGGTGTCAGTCTCAGCGATGCTGTTCAACACCGAGAGAAAGAAGGAGAGTCAGGGTTAGGAAGGTGTAGTGTACCTTGTTTTTACTTGTATGTCACTGTACGTTCAAGATGTACTGTAACAGTGGGTGGGTTGAAAATACCTAAGACAGGAGCTGAGTTTTCGTCTTTGTCTACTTGACTGATATATTTTGTAAAGAAAGTCATTGGTTGTGTCAAAGGCTGTGCTTTTTTGTCATCAGACACAGCTCCCACCTGAACATACTAGTGTTGTCCTTTGGGGGCCACTTTGCTGGTATCAGACGTTGATATGGGAGTAGCGTATTCCCTCACGGTCTCTGCTGCCTCCCAGACACCATACACCAAACAGCCAGGACAGAAGAGGCTCATGTGAACTGACAGGCATGCAGACTGACACCGAGACACATGGATGTGTGGGCAAGTTGCTGGGCAGACAGAGGGACAAGTTGGAGTGGACAGAGGAGGCTAAGGGAGACAGAAAGAGAGAGAAGGCGGTGAGGCAACCAAGGTGTCATGCTGTAGACTGACATCTGGATTAAGCAAACGGCCCTTGACTCAAAGAGAGACAGATATCAGGTTCTAGTCCACCCAGTAAGAGCTGATTTGGTAATGTGCAGGTCAAAAGGTGTCTATGTGTCTATAAAATGTCAGACATCTATGTTACATCCAGTATAGCAACGCTTCAGTGGCTGCATTTCAATGTGTACAGTTATTTAAATGCTGTTAAAACAACCATTGTATGCATTGTATTATACTGTATTCCTCTTTACCTGTGATTATTGGGCATCAGTTTGATTTGATTTGATTATTTTCAATTCAAATTTATTAATTTTATTTGTCCCCAAGTATACAATGCATAACAAAACATACAATTTTCTTTTGCTGTTCTGTCTACAAGGACATAAGGGATGCGCTTTATAATAAAATGTTCATTTATGATGATTTCTTTGGGCTGGATGATTATGAAAACGCTTGAATTGCGCTTCACTTTCTTGTAGTGAACTTTTTGTGCGAAGCTTGGAAGAGAAGACCGAGCTCTATAATAATTTGTAATCTGTAATTTTGTAATGAAATGAAATGCATTTTTTGTGTCTTGTAAACCCATGAGGGTTGAGCACTTTGTGTGCAGGACACAAAAATCAAATCAAATCATACAGAAGCATACAGAAGCATACAGAAACATACAGAAGTTGGCGTAAACATGTGCACAGGGTGGCTTACAGCAATGCACAGTGAGTTGTTTCATCATCATCACAATCAAGGGTTAAGATCATTAGTTTTTGGACTTGGATAACCATGCCAACATCCCCAGCATCATCTCTGGCATATCTACAACTAGTGCTGCAAAGACTAGTTGATTGACAAAAAAATAACTGGCAACTATTTTTAAAATCAATTATTAATTTCAATAATTTTCTGTTTTCTGGTTCCAGCTTCTCAAATGTCACGATTTACTGTTTCTCTTTGACATGTATGGCAGAAAATTCAATATCTTTTGGACAAAACAAGCAAATTTAAGACATCCCTGTGGCATCTGAGGAAATGAAATTTTCACTAGTATCTAACAGTTCATGGACAAAATGATTCCTCAATAAAGAAAATAATTGTTAGTTGCAGCCCTATTTCCACCAGTGAACCTTATGGGTTGACCTAATAGATCAGGATGTGTGTGTTCATGCTCCTGTCCTGGCTATGAGATATACTGTATGTATCGGTACTAATCATATTAATAGATTTACATACAAATAACATTTGCCTTCTGGAAGGGAAAGCAGACTTCGCCCATTCAGCCAGAAAATCAGTGAGTGTTTATGCCAGCTAGAGGTCAATGGTGGTTTTATTCAGTTGTTTTAAAAGTTTTCTTTTCTGCTCCTTGTGAACAGCAGACAGTGTTACATCCCACATGCTCTCCTGCATGTGGAGATGCTCTGCGTTCATATTGTCAGTTTGTATGTGTTTTCTTTTGCCTCGTGGGTGTCCATAAGGGAATTCTCACAATTGTCGATGATGAAGCCATGAAAACAATAACCAGAACGCTCAGCGGTGCCCTTTGAATCAGTAAAACCAAACAAACATGTGATGTACTCTGGTAGCTCATTTAAGAAGCAGTTAGTCGGACAAAATAAACGATGCTTCCTTTTTCTACTTTTGCGGTATGTTACACAAATTGTTTGTGCTATGCTAAGACAAATGTGCTCGCCTTGTTTGGAAAAAAAAAACATCCATCGATTTAAGTGATTGGCCACTTTACACCCACAGATCCCATCTGTTTGAACCTGCAATCAGTGTTGGTGAAGGAAGGGTTTTTCTATTCCTGAACTGCTGCCATTTTTCCATTGATTGCTCATGTTTGATAATGAGAAAAAACAGCATTTACGGTTCAGTCAAGGGATGTGTTGTTTTTCTTCCCACACATTACGTCATGGTCACTCTAGCCCTAACCAGGTTTTTGACATCTGTGGCAGCGCCAGATGTTGCTGTCCTCTGACTGTCTTCTTAACAGCTGAGTGCTGCTGCAAAAAGGTCATCACAGAGATGGATGATGGGCTAACGATACTTAACACACAGACCATGAAGTAATGTGTGCAATATGTTGGCTGTTAACCTCCAGGTTTGTGGTTCTTAATAATTATTAATTTGAGCCAAAAACAATCCCTTAAATACACATGATGTACACCACTGAAATTACAGTTTTTCTATTTATAAGAAAGTTTAGGTGATTTAAAAAAACTAGCAGCACCAGAAACATACTTTCAATCCAGACCAGAATCCATTAAACAGCATTTGCTCCATCTTTGAGAAATTGATATGAAGTTGAGAGCTTGATGTGAACTGGCACATGCATATGTGGGCTTTGAACAGCACCGTGGTATTCAGTGTCTCTGCTGTCACATTTTTCCTGATTGAGTCAATTTAACAAATAAAGCACAGTGTGGGCTATATTTGGCTGAGATCACCAGAGTAATTACCTTGTTTGAAGCCTTTTTACCCGAGCAAAAATGTTTCATTTTTGTCAGCAGGAATTAACTTTCAAAATGAAAGTAAATGAAACCTGTGGAGCACGAACCCCGCCGTCACTCAGTGTCATGTATGAACAATAGCATTCAAAAGAACACTGTACTGCTGATTCAAGGGTAGAGGAATGGTTTAAGTGGGCCTGAAAAGTAATTAGGGCTGGTATTGTTTTTGGTTTCAAACAAACTTCTCTGAACTAATGGGCCATTTGCCTCTGAGTTGCCTTTGTTGAAAAACTCATAATTCCACTGCTGTGCTAGAGAGCTGCGCAACAAGCGCACAAAATTAAGTCTGATTATGTTCAGGTGACACATCATTTTTTCATTCAAATTTGGAAACTTTTTAATGTCTTCAGAAAGCATATTTACAAATATGGAAATTGGAATAGAGTATGACACTTACATGCAACACATCTTATGTTTCTTTTTTCATTAGATAGGTGTGATTGTATGTATGGGTGTGTGTATTTGTGTTTGCACTCACAGCATGTATGATTCCTTATTAAACCTTCTGCTGTCGAGTACTGATGGAAAAGGGAATCTGAATCCATCGTGTATAAGAATTTTATTTTAACAGTCTCACTGTTTGGTGTGATTTCGGGGGTGTATTGTGAGTGTCGGTTAACGTGCCACTGTGTGTGGAGGTGTGTGACTGTACTTGAATACATATTGGTACGGTGCGAGAGTGTGTGTGGGTGCATAAATGTTTGCCGAGCTCCTCCTGCCTCGCTCCAGGCAGAGCTGGCTAACGGAAGAATCCGTGCTGCAGAATCGAGTTGCACTTTGCAGGACGCCAGACGTGCTGCAGCTCCAGGGACCCGAGCGGCTCTCTATCTCCTGACTGGCAGGCCGCTGCTGAGCCCTGCAGCTGCATGCATGTGTGCAACTCCAGCTCAGTGCAATCAGACACACAGATAACCACAGTGAGAGAGGGGTGAGGGAGGGAAAGCAGCATAATCATCGGTGATGGTGTGGGAGAGCAGTGCGTGTGGTGGCTAAATAATAAATGTGGCATATCGGGTTTTGTGTGAAGCCAGACTGAAGCCCGCTCCTGTGGTGGTGCTGAGGGGTGAGGGGAGGATGTAGAGATTTCACACATACTACTCGTCCAGGGATAAAGAGTAAAATAGAAGTTTAGCTGTTAAATCGATTAGTGTTCGACATTAATCATTTAAGTCATGTTAACTAAAAATACTACTAGTTCCACCTTCTTAAATTTAAGGTTCCACCTTCTTAAATTCTCTGAATATCTTTGTATTATGGACTGGTTGGACAACATCTGAAGCAATTTGAAGACTCCACCTTGAGCTCTGATGACTGATAAAAAAAACTAGCAATATATATTTATAGATAATGAAACCAGTCATTAGTTGCACCCCTAAATGGAAGAAACATCAGAGAATGTCAGAACTGGAAGGCAACAACAAGCTGGCCTCTTAGTGAAGTAATAGATTTGGCATTATATTTGCAAAAAACTTGCTGTTTTTCATTAACAACTCCAACCTCCTCTTCCATCTCTCCTCCCCTCTCCTCCCCTCCCTCCTTGTCTTCTGTTTCTCCAAGAAGGTGATGCTTCCTACAGGAGCGGCGTTCCGGTGGTTCCAGTAGGACTCCTCCACTCCCTACCCAAAGCTCTGCCATCAAGTGCAATGCCAACTCCTGGATTGTCTCCGGAACAGACACTGGCTAATAAACAAACAAGCAACAAATAAAAGTATAGAAAACAACAACAAAAAAACAGAAGAACAAAAAAAAACAAAAAAAACCCACAACAAACAAAAAACAAACAAACAAAAAACAATCGGGTAATGGATGCACCTACTTATTCCTTGAACCAAAAATGAAGCGTAAAGAAAAGCATCTATGGCAATTTTCATTCCCTTTTCTATGTTTCCATTTTGGTACCTTTTGTCCTTTTTCCAGCAGGTTTTTTTCTGTCGCTTAAACATGGAACTGTTCATTGCCAGAAACAGAAATGACGGACTGAGTGTGGACAATCAACTAATTTCTGTGTTTGGTGTTAATGTTGTTCATGTGTGGAAAGATACAGTACTTGTGTAGAGAATGTAAATTTACAGCTATATTTCAAAACTAGTGGCTAATGGCAAACATTATTGTAATTCTTCACCATTATGTTACTTAAACCCTTGTCTATTTTATGATTCATTTTGTTGAAGAGTACAGTTTTCAGACAGATCAGTGGTTGTCTTTGAAAGACAAAGAAAATGTTAGCAATTATGACGCGGTGGAATTCGGATTTAAAGGAAACTGAAAAAGTCATGTTATTGGGCAGATCTCCAGAGACTTTTCACTGGTTTGAAGATGCTGTTTGCCAGAGCCGTCACTACTGTAATCTCCTCAATCAGCCCTCCTCTGCATTTCCAAACTTTTCCTTTAGTGAAACTGGCAGCCTTATGTTACTGTGGCCCTACTGAGCATGTGCCAATACTGCTCAGGGCAATAGCATTAAGAGACAGCACTTGCTCTGAGTCTACCCTACTGAACGCACTGAGACAAGATTCCTTTTTTTTTATTTGTTTGTTTATTTGTTATATTTTCATGATTTTGTTATGTTGCTGGGTAGCTACAGCTTTTAAAAATAACCAATCTTTGTATTGTTTAGAAAATTGGACTGGTTTTGTGAATAAAAAGGAATGCATGTATTCGTGTCAAAATTTACAATTCTGATGTTTGTCTACTTGTCTATTTGCATGTTTTTTAAAAACAGCTGATTTGACAAAACAAAAACTTTAAGTATAACTTTTCCATGAACTAAAGAAAATGTTCCCTTTTCTATTATAATTGGACGGTGTGGGGAAATTCTCAAAGATTCTGACGCAAGCAGAACTAAGTATTAAAAGTAAATCAGGTGGTGTTATGGATCACCATGATGTCCTTGGTTTGACTGAGATATTTCTCTCGCTTCCTATGTAATATCTACCTAGAGTGGAATGACTTCTGGAGCCTTGCTATGCTAAAATGTAACCAAAGTGATTTAAAAGATGTTTGAATAAGAACAATTTTGATTGCAGTGTTTCTTCAAAATGCATGAAATCTCCTGAAAATCCTCCCAAATGTCATTTTTTCTCAGTGATTTTCACTCTTCTCCCAGACCTTTGTGACATTTACCCTTCTCCACGACATTTACAGTCAGAAAACATAAGCAGAAAATCATAGATAGTCATTGGATTACTGATGGGCAGTTTTGTTGTTGGCTCTAAGAACTTAACACACTGAACTTAAAGCAGCAATATGTAAGATCTGGTATTTGTGCTCCCAGTTGCAATAGCATTGTCTGTAAATATAGACAGCTGTACACTGGACATCACTGATGATAATAAAAACTAGCGAGTGGACAACTTTGCTAACACAGCCAAACATCAAGCAACTGCAACAACACAAGTTATAGCAATCCAGCTAATATTACTTACTAGTCAAACAGTAAGAAGTCTATCTCTGTGTCTGTCTGCAGCCTTTTATTTTCATGAAGCTTTTGCCAACAACTAAAAGCCAGTCTGAGATTTACCTATTGTTCGGCAACTCCTGTCTCATTGTCTCTTTTTAGCGTCCTCTTAGGTCTCTTACTGTCCATAGAAGCTGCTGAGCCTGGTTACATTGCCCACTGGCCCAGCTGTGGTTCAGGGACGACGCTGGGCACCACTCTCCATCAGCATCCTCTTCCCGCGGTCCAAAGCGTCTCCTCCCAGCGGTCCAAAGCATCTGGGCTACCAGAACAACATTTTGCAGCAGTTACTGTGTAAATAACAGAGTTCACACAGACATCAGATGGGAACCAAAAAACATTAATAATATAATAATATATAGACATAGTGAAAGAGGCAGCATTCACCCTATTACAACTCAACTTAGCATCAAAATAACTTTGAAGCTGTTACTTTAAGGTAGAAAGGTTACATAATGTTGCTTTAAGAAAACATGCAAAAGGACAAAACACTAGGAAATTAAAAAAACATCTTCCAGAACTTGACAACACATGCACAGAATTAAAAAAACCCACTGCAAATATGGAAAACACAACCAAGTTTCCAGGGGACATTAAATGGCTGGGCCATGCATGTTGTCCACCAGATGAAGAATTACCTAATTTTCCAACAGTATTTACAGATTCAACAACCAACTTCAAAACTTTCATGAGTCACAATCCATGGCAAAATATCGTATCCAATTGTTGTCTGTGCTACTTGCAGCGTTACTGTATTTGGTTGTGTTTTCTCTATTTGCATTTAGAAAAATTTAGAAAAAAATGTGGTGCATGTGTTGTCAAATTGATTTCCCTTTTGATTATCTTGTGTTTTGTCTATTTTTGTGTGTTTTCTTAATTTGCAGTACATTGAGTTCTCAGGGTGACCGTAATTAAGGTTATCCTGAAGAAGCCTGGATGAAGTATCTGTGTGGCTGGATGTGTTATGCATTCAAGGAGCAGAAGGGAGTGAAGTTCGGATAAAGACATGGATAAGTGAAAGCAGTGCTGATTTAAAATCCTTTCCAAAATGTGGTCAATCTCACATGGGTCTTAGTGTAATTACTGATTCTAATGCCTCAGGTCTGTGACACTGGAGTGAATTTCCATTTCCTGCTAAGTGATGATTCTCAGTGATTTTTTTTTTTCACAGCTTCCATAGTCACTCTTTCATATCCAGGTGGGGAAGTATATGCAGATTTTTTCTGCAGCCGTAGTGCTGAGTGTTTTTAATTAGTGAATATCCACAGTGGAAGGCCCAGTATGGTGGGCTTGTGTACGAGCTCGTGATCAGCTTGGCGAGTGGAGAGTTGGAGAGTGTAGCTATATTCCCAGCTTCCCCCCCGGTGACAGTGCTGGGCTACTGCCATCGCCATGGCGATTGGGGGAGTGTGTGCGTGAGTGTGTG